CCCCCCCCGGAGGGGAAAGGGGAGCCCACGTGGGGGTCCCTTGGTGCCACTTGCCCCGGGGCAGCTGCAGTCCAAGCTGGTCGGGGCCGCCTGCAGGCCCAGGAAGGCAGCCGTGGGCAGCCCCCATCCCCAGCGAGGGAGGTGCCCCCCACTGCCACGTGGGATGCCACGCTACCCTCTTCAAAGCGAAAGTGGTGCCCGAGGCTCTGAAACTCCCCCCACATCCTGTGTCCCGCTGAGCCTTGCACAGGGCCCCCAGCAGGTTTCTAGTCCTCACCGATGGGAAGAACCACCGTCTGGCCAGAGAGGAAATGGCAAGGGGGCCCGGAGAACGGGGGCAGAGCAGGAGCAGGGGGGGGTCTTCCCATTCTCCCTTTGGGGGGCAGGGAGGAGCAAAGGCAGGCGGGGGATGGGAAGCTGGATGGTCAGCAGCCAATGCAGGGGGAGGGGCTCCCCCTCCTTCTCTGCGCTGGCCGGATGCCCCAGTTGAGGAAGGACGCTGGTCAACTGGACAGTGTCCCAGGAATCCCAATGGGATGCTGACTGGGGAGGGGGCGGAATTGACTCCACGTGGGCTGATTTGCACCCGGAGGCTCGTCCCTGGAGCCCCTGCCACCAAAAGTGGCTGAAAAGGAAGCGGGAGGGAGGGGGGGCAGGTAAGCGGGGGGGGCATTGCCTTTGGCCACCCTCAGCTGCAGGGCAGCAGGCAGAGAAGGCAGGGGGCTTCCTCGCTCTCCCCCCCCCCAGGCTTCTGCAGCTGTGGAGGCTGGGGGCGGGGGCTGGATTCCTCTTTAATGGCCCCAAACAGCTCAGGTTCATTTGTCGGCCCTGAAACTTCCTTGGGGGTTTGCTGTGCCCACCTCCTGTGCCCAGCCCAGCCGCCCCCTCCCTGCCCTTGTCTCCTGCAGGCAGTGACTGTGATGGCGCTTGTTAGCTGAGTGGCTGGCACTGGCTGGCATGGGAAGCCCCAGTCCGGCTGCTGGGAGGGGCCCTTGGCTCTGGGGCTGGGGGGGGGGCAGGGCTGTGGGGCAGGCCTCCCTGGGTGCTTGGCGGACGCTGCCCTGTGCCAGCAGCTCTCTGGGGCAGAAAGACCCCCCTCCCCCCAGCCCAAGCTCCTCCGGTCGGGGCGTCCTGGGAAGTGGCTGTGAGCAGTGGAGTTGCAATTGTGGCAGCCTTGGGGGGCATCCATCCATCCCCCAAATTCCCAGCAGAAACCCCCCCCCCCCCGGGCTCCCTCTGGAAGTCTCTGGAGAGGGAGAGCCCCCCTCCCCCAGTTTGGCAGCCCACCTCTGACCTACTCCCATCTTGGCTAACAGCTGGGGAAGCTGGGATTGGTAGTCCAACACAGCCTGCTTTGCCTTGGCAGCTCGAAGAGACTTCAACTCCCAGAATTCCCCAGCCAGCCATGCTCCCCTCAGTGGGCAGGGGGTTTCCTTTGCGCTCCCCCCCCCCCCCCCCCCCCGGCCCCCCCCCCCCCCTCCCCCCCCCCCCCTGGGGGGGCGCCCCCCCCCGGGGGGGGGGCGGGGCGGGGCGGGGGGGCGCCCCCCCCCCCCCCCCCCGGTCCCCGGGGGGGCCCTGACTTTCCTGGCCTCCGTTCCCCCCCCCCAACCCAGGGAGAGAAGAACCAGGGCTTCGATGTCCTGTATCACAACATGAAACATGGGCAAATCTCGGCCAAGGAGCTGGCGGACTTCGTGCGGGAGAGGTACGCCCCTTTGCCCCGCCCCTTTCCCACCCGGGGAGGGCTGTGCCCCTCCCACCGCCCTCCCCATTATGGACTACATCCCCCAGAATGCTGGCTGCATACTCGGCAGACCTGGAGAGGGCTTATTGCTTTGCCCTGGGAAAACATGGCTGCTGGGGTGGGGGCTGACTGCCACAAGGGACCCGGGGGGGCGGGATAGTCCCCAGAAAACTACCCCTTGCCTGGTTTCCACCCCCTTCCCAGACCATAGAAAACCCACCGGGGGGGGGGGGGGCAATTTCTGTACAGTTTGTTTTTAAGAGCCCCTCCAGAAAGGCTGGGCTCTGCTCTCTGCTGCCCCCAAGTGGCCCCATGGAGTTTTCAAGCTTTATAATGCTTTACAGACCCCTCGTAGTAGCAGTGATAGATAGCCCTTAGATGCTGCTTCCCAGGGCTTTCCAGCCCTCTCTGAGCGGGAGTCCAGCCCCCTCTTTACAGAGTCAGCCTGTTTGCCCCCAACACTCTGGGCTCCTCCTCCTTTGACCCACCTCGGAAGGACGGTAAGGCTGAGTCCACCTTGAGCCTGGTGGGATTTGAACTGCCAAATTGCAGGCAGCAGAAGGAGCCTGTAGCACTACACCAACCACTGGGCCACCGAGGCTCAAGGGAGGCCAGACCTGGAATCCTGCAACCGATTTTGGTCGCCTCATTACAAAAAAGACGTTGAGGCTTTGGAGAAAGTTCAGAGAAGAGCAACTAAGATGATCAAAGGCCTGGAGACTAAACCGTACGAAGAAGGTTTGGGGTCTGGCTAGTCTAAAAAAAAGAAGAATTAGGGGTGACACGATAGCAGCCTTCCAGTATTTGAGGGGCTGCCAAAATAAAAGAATGGGGGTCAAATCATTCTTCAAAGCTCCAGAAGGCAGGACAACGGATGGAAAGTGACCAAGGAGAGAAGCCATCTGGTATTAAGGAGAAATTTCCTGCCAGTGAGAACGGTCAACCAGGGGGACTCCTTGCCACTTACCAGAAATTGTGGCTGCTCCATCCCCGGAGGCTTTTAAGAAGAGCCTGGACAGCCGCTTGTCTGAAATGGTCGAGGGTCTCCTGCTTGAACAGGGGGCTGGACTAGAAGACCTCCAGGGTCCCTTCCAGCTCTACTCTATTCTAAAGCTTTGGAGATCCCAAAGGGGCTTTTTCAAAAGGCAGCTGGACTTCCTTTGTTTCCCAAAACGGGAAGCCGGGCTGGGCTGGGTGGAGAACCGCAGGGGCTGCAGGGGGCGGCAAGTGCCGTTGCTGGGGGGGGGGGAGCCTTCCGACAGGGCCTTCCCTCTTGGGGGGGGGGGGGGTCATTTGCTTAAAGGGAAGTTGGGTTTTTCCTAACCTGGTGGGGCTGATGACTCCACTTGCTGGCACAGCTGGGAACCAGATTATCTGCTGTTAAATGAGGCAGCCGTTATATTGCCTGGTTTCACAACTTTGGTTGTTGAGAGACCGCAGTTGTTAAGGGAGTCACATGGTCATTAAGTGAGTCCAGTTGCCCCCACTGACTTGGCTGGAGCTGCAAGCGTTGTGAAGGCACGCTGGATGCCTAGCGCCCACATTTGACCACGTGGCCCTCGGGGGCAGCGACGGTTGTAAGTGCGAGGACCAGCTGGAAGTCACCCTTCCATGCTTTTGTGTCTTCGGGCGACAGTTAAACAAACGGCTTTAAGCCAAGAATTAGCTGGACACCTTTGGGGCTTATTTCTGGAAGTAAAAAATGAGCAGCCGAACCCAGAGCCCGGGGGTCCTAGGCAGCCCCACTCACGTGCTTCTGCCCCCTTTGCCAGAGGCTCTGGGGGCGGCTGGGGAAGGAAAAACAGACCCCGGCCCAGCTGGCAGCAGCCCAAGGAGAGGGCAGAATTCACGTCCGGGCCCTGGAGGACCCTGCTAGGCAGGGTGGGCTCTGGGGCAGCCCAAGTTACCTTGCCCAGGGCCCCTCTGGAGCGGGACCTGTGCCCAAGGCAGCGCCCCCAGGATGTGCCCCCTAGCCCCCCCCCCCCAGCGATTGGTGGGTCTGGTGGCCCATGGGGTTGAGGGCCTTGAAGGGGCCTGGCTGAGAAGACCCCTCCCCTTAACTCCACCCAGTTGTCCCCCCCCCCCCAGAGCCAGACCCTTACTGGGTGCCAACTTCCTCCTCCTGCCCACCAGAGGGAGCTGTGGCTCTTTGCTGACCCCATCAGACCATGCAGAAGGTGGCAACTGGGAAGGGCCGGATGTGGGTTGAAGCCCCCTCCCTCCTGGGAATTCCTGCCCCGTGGGGGGGGGTCACAACTGGAGGAAGGCTGTCCTGGAGGTTTCTCCGCTGAAATCAGAATGGAGTAACTTTCCCTTGGGATGTGGAAGCTGGCCAGAGCATGTGCAGAGTGCAAATCTGCTTGTACGCTGCTTCAAAACAGCAGGAGTCTCCGTGGCAACTTTAAGGCTTGTGGACCTCAACTCCCACAGTTCCCCAGCCAGTGGTTTTCCTTCGAAAGCGGAGGGATACAAATGCGCCTTTTATTTTAATGCGCCTTTCCTTCCTCAGTGCCTGAGTTCAGGCCTCCCCAAATAATACCCGTGTTTTAGGCCCTGTGACGGAAGCGGCAGGCTTGGCCCGGCTAAGCCAAAGGGGGCCCAGCCCCAAAGGCCGAGCTTGGGCATTGCTCGAGTAGAAACCTGCAGGGGTAACGGAGCCCATGGGGCTGGGCAGGCAGAATAGACAGAGGCGGTTTCGAGTCCTACGACCATAGACTCTGGCCGCCTGCCCTCTCTGTGCTAAGGGGGGGGGGTGCTTGGCAGGGATTCCCCGAGAGGCTGGTCCAAGGAAGGCCCTCCCCCATCTGCCAGAGAGTGTGCGGGAGCGTGGGCCTGTCCCTCCCTGAAGCCTGCTTGGGGTGACGGGGGTCTCTCTCTTTCCCCCCACCCGGCCAGGGCGGCTGTGGAGGAGGCCTACGCCAAGTCCATGGTCAAGATGTCCAAGATGGCCGGCAACAGCACCCAGCTGGGGTGAGGAGGGGACCTGGGGGCATTCTGGGGGGAGGGGGGCCTGGGGGGGCCGCACCGTCCTCCTCTGCCACGCCGTGTGGGGAGGGGCTGCCCGTTCCGTGCCTGCAGGACGAGGGTCCTGGCCTTTGAGCTCCTGTGGAGGAGTGGGAGGGGGGCCTGGAGGCTCAGGCGCTGCCCGTGTGCCCCCCCAGGACCTTTGCCCCCCTCTGGGAGGTCTTCCGCATCTCCTCGGACAAGCTGGCGCTGTGCCACGCTGAGCTGGTGAAGAAGCTGCAGGATCTCCTCAAGGAGATCGGCCGCTATGGGGAGGAGCAGCTGCGAGCCCACAGAAAGGTGACCCTCCCCGGCCCAGTATTCCCCAGGGACCCCGGGGGGGGGGGATATCCCTTGGACCCCCCCCCCCAACGCTGCCAAACGCCCTCTGGGGCCCCAGTGGGTGGGGGGCCCCCCCTCCCACGCCAGAAGAAGAAGGGCCACGAGTTCTTCTCCTGCTCCTCTTCCTCCCCGGTCAGTCGAAGGACGAAGTGGCCGGGACACTGGAGGCCGTCCAGCAGCTCCAGGGGGCTGCCCAGCACCTGCCCAAAGCCAAGGAGGCCTTCCACAGCCGCTGCCAGGAGCTGGAGAGGCTCCGCAGGGAGGGGGCCAGCCAGAAGGAGGTGGACAAGGTGGGCAGTCTTGCTTTGGGTCTCTGGCTGCCCGGCTGGAGGGAGGGAAAGGGGGCCGCGCGGGGGGAGGGGCCGTGCCCTGACTTGGCCCCCCCCCCCCCATGGGCCCCCCCCACCAAGGCGGAACTGAAGTCCCGAAAGGCCGTGGAGGCTCTGCGGCGCACCGTGGAGAAGTACAACGCGGCCCGTGCCGACTTTGAGCAGAAGATGCTGGACTCGGCCGTGGTAAGGGGGGGGGCAGGGCGCGGGGGGGCCGACCCCCCCCCTTGGGGGGGGCTGTTGGCTGAGCTGGCACTTTGTTGGGCCTCCCCAAGTCTCTTCCATTTACGTTGGTCAGGAAAGGCCCTGGGGGGGGGGGTCCTGGTTGTTTCTCCCCCCCCCCCCCTCCCTGTGGGTCACGGGGGAGATGGGGGTTTTGGGGAGCGGGGCCTCAGCGTAGACTCGGCCTGCCCCCCCTCCCCCAGTGACGCAGACCTGGCTGCCACCTCCTCTTGGCGCGAGGTCTGCCCCCCGCCAGACCCACAGCCCCTCTCCTGCCTGCCCCGCCCAGCGGTTCCAGGAGGTGGAGGAGTCGCACCTGCAGCACCTGAAGGCCCTGGTGGGCTCCTACATCCACTCGGTGGAGGACACCCACGTCCAGATCGGACAGGTGAGGAGGGCGTGGCCGGTCCCGAGGGGAGGGGGCTTCTGGGCAGACCTGCCAGGCGGCCCCCTGCCTGCCGATGCTCTGCAGGCCCCCATCGGGGAGGGGCTTATGGAATTGCAGCCCTGCCCCCCCCCCCCCCCCCCGGGGCCCCCCTCCTTTCTCTCTCGCCCTCCAAGGGGAGGCAGGCAGAGGGACCCCACCTCAAGGGTGCTGGCTGGGGGGCGTGGCTGCCTTCCCCCATGGGGTCTCGGGGGGGAAAGGGCGGACAGGTGCTCTCCCGCCCTCAGGGGCACCTGGGATCCCTTTGGGGGCCTCAGGAGGGTCCCTCGCTCCCCTGCTCAGGTGCAGGAGGAATTCAAGCAGAACATGGAGAACATCGGGGTGGAGACGCTGCTGCGCAACTTTGCGGAGGGGAAGGGCACCGGCTGCACCCCGCCAGGTGAGGGACACCCCCCCCGGGCAGCCTCGAGAGGCCGGACGCCGGATGGACCGGCAGGCATTTCCATGAAGGACCCCATCCAGGAGGCTCAGGGCCCCAGGGCGCCCGACTCCCCGCCTCTTAGCTCGGAGCGGTGCAGGTGGAAGGGAGGGGCTGGTGGGCCCATCCTTGGGGTGGGGTGGGGGACTTGGGGGTTCTCGGCCCCTACCTCACCTCAGGCTT